TTCCCCTCCTGAGGTTTGCAGTTCCTCAGTGGGCTCTGGAGATCCCTCGGCGCCCAAGTCGGATGCGCATCGCCTCGGTGAGCCTGCGAAAAGTAGGGAGCCGAACTCTCTCTCTCTCTCTCTCTCTCTCTCTCTCTCTCTCTCTCTATATATATATACTAGAACCACGCGCGCGCTTCGCGCGCGCTTAGGTTCTAGCGCAGTCCTAGCCAACCTCATAAGATCGGATGAGGATGGACATCATCTGGCAAGGGTCACCATATGGGAGCGTACTTCCTGGTGGGGAGACGCTGAATAAGCGCTCCAGGAAGTTGCGCAAGGCGTCCAGAAGAAGGACACAGGGCAGGCTCAGGCGGATGCCCGAGAACCCCTGAGAGCCTGGCAAGACCATGCTGGGAGTATTGTTGGATGCCTTTGGGGGACGTTCTTGAAGGCTCTTGGGGCTTTGGGGGGGTGGGGCATCTCGGGTTTTGGTTTGGGCTCTCCTGGTGGCATCTTAGCACTTTTTGGGGGCGCTTCGGGGGCCTCCCCTGGGCTCTTGGCATCTGTGCTCGAAATGTCGGTTTGGATCCCCGCCATTGTCCCCGTCTTGGGGCCGTCTTGAGGGCCTCTTGGCCGTCGTGACGGCATCTGGGGCCGTCTTGGCGCTCTCTTTCGTCGTATTCGGGCCGTCGCGGAGATCTCATGGGCTGTCTTGGTGCTGTCTTGGGGACCTCTTGGGCCGTGTTGCAGCGTTGGGAAGCCGAAACAGCATGAGGGGGGCGGAGAGAGGAAGGCGTGAAGGAGAGACGATGGGGAGGGAAGAGAGAAAATGACGCAACGGGAAGGAAGCAAGCGGAGACTGACAACGAGGGATGGGGAAACCGGAAACACGCTCTGGGGCACGCACGCCAAAGCCTGGGACAAGAGGAAGCAAGGGGGGGGGCTGGGAGAGCGAGGAGGACGTGGAACGAGATACGCAAGAGAACCAGGAACAAGGGAGAGATCGGGGAGAACGAACAGCGAGGGGTGGGGGACACAGACACGCAGGAGGGAGGGGGAGAGACGAAGGCGTGAAGGAGAGACGAGGAAGATGGAGGGGGGACAATGACGCAGCGGGGAGGAGAGGAACAGGAAAAAAAGAGGTGGATGTGGAACGGGAGGCGCAAGAGAACCAACAACAAGAAAAAACGATCAGGGACAACGGGCAGCGAAGAATGGGGAACACGGAACCGCTCTCGGGGGCACACCAAAGCCTGGGACTGGAGGAAACAGAGGGGGAGGGCCTTGAAACAAACATTTGGGGAAATCCTTTTCTTTGCAAGCTGGGCCTCCCACCACTGAGTGGGGCAGGATGCTGGGTGAGGGCGGCGGAGGGAGGAAGGAATGAAGGAGAGATGAGGATGAGGGAGCGGAAAGACGGAAACGCATGAGTGAGGGGGAAGGAAAAAGGCGTGAAGGAGAGACGAGGTGGAGGGAGGAGGGAACACGACTCAGCGGGGAGGAGGGAGGCGGAGAGAAAGGAGAAACATGTGGAAAGTGAGGCGCACGAAACCCAAGAGCAGGAGAGAGAGAGAGAGAAAGAGATAGAGAGAGAGAGACAGAGAGAGCAAATCTAACAGACAACGAGGGATGAGGGAAACAGAAAAGGCACTCGGGGGCACGCAGAAACCTGGGACAGGAGGGAACGGATGAGGGGGGTCGACCATGAAAACAAGAACGTGGGGGAAATACTTTTTTCCAAGGTGGCTCTGGAGGCCCCGAGGAGAACCCAAGATCGCCCCAAGAGACCTCCACGAGTCCCCCAAGAGCTACGGGTAAGCGCTCGAGAGGTCAAAATCATTGAACAACCAGGCGTGAAGGAGAAACGAAGAGGATGGAAGAGGGCAACGGACGCAGCGGGGAGAAGGGAGTGGGAGATGAATGAGGACGAAGAACGGGAGACGCAGGAGAACCAGGAGAAAGGGAGAGATCCGGGAGAACAAAAGCGAAGGGTGTGGAAGACGGAAACGCATGAGGGAGGCTGAGAGAGGTAGGAAGGAAAATGACACAGGGGGGAGGAGAGAAGAGGCGAGATAGGAGGTGGATGTGAAACGGGAGGCGCAGGAAAACCAAGAGCAAGAAATAATGATCAAGGAGAAAAGGCGGCGAGTGCTGGGGGGAAGCGGAAACGCACTCGGGGGCACGCAAAATTCTGGGACAGGAGGAAACAAAGGGGGGAGACGTTGAAAAAAAGGGTTTGAGGATTTCCCCTTTTGTTGTCAAGCTGGGTCTCCTACCACATGGTGGTGCAGGATGCTGGGCGAGGGAGGCGGAGGGAGGAAGAAGTGACGGAGAGATGGGGATGAGGGATGGAGGGGCCGAAACAGCATGAGGGAGGCGGATAGAAGAAGGCGTGAAGGAGAGACGAGGTGGAGGAATGAGGGAAAGGGACGCAGCGGGGAGGAGGGAGGCGGGGAGAAAAGAGAAGGATGTGGAACGTGAGCCGCAAGCCACCCAATAACAAGAGAGATATCCAGAAGAACGGACAACGAGGGATGAGGGAAACAGAAAGGCACTCGGGGGCACGCCAAAGCCTGGGACTGGAGGTTGGGGCTTCCTGGGGGCCTATTCGGGGCCTCTTGGAGCCTCTTTTTTCGTGGTTCTCTGGGGATTTGTCGGCGGTCATCTTTGGTCAGCTAGGGCTCGCCCAAAGCGACAGAGGCCGAGGTCGAGGACGGCGAGGGGCGGACAAAAGCGGCGAGGCGCGCGGGCGCACGGGAGTTTG